AAAACCGAGGTTGTCGAATTCGGTATGACCGCGTCCGGTCTGCTCTCTGTCACTTTTCATTACACGAAACGTTTTTATTCATGGAGATTAATGGCGCGTTATCCACTGTAATGGATGTGAGAATGGGGTGGTCATCCGAACATTAATGTCGCAGATATTCCTTCCCTGTACCGCGTTCACATGAAATATTTCTATTGGGTCCGGTGGAGGGGCTGTAAAACAGAATTCCCGGAAAAAAAGCTCGAATCGACCCACAATTTCACTGAACGTACATCGCACCACGGATAGCTCATCGAAGAGGCGGCCGTGACTCGATACCGCGATTCGGGAATTTCAGACGATCTCGTCCATATGACTCTTCCCTGTCTTCGTGCTGGATTTCGTCTACTCATCGTCGATATATCGAGTTTGCTCCATTGGCTGCGTCACAGAGCTCCCGATACGTGCTGTCCCGCGGGCGCTTATCGCGGACCTTAGACTGGAGAGAGAATCGCAAACATTCAGGGACCACAAGGGACCGATTGGCCCCTTTTCGCCAGTCATCTGGCCGTTTAGTTAGCTGAGCAGGCATCCTGGAAGAAAGCTTTGTGGCAGCCGCACGTGCGGTAGCCGGCGACGACGACGTCGGTCAATCGGCAATCCAGTCGCCCAATGAACTGTGTTTGTTTGGTTTTCTATTTATTCGGTTTGCTGCCCATGGCTTCTTTAATGGGATTTGGAGGAACCAGTCGATGAAGGGGGCAGCTGCGTGGGAACAAAGACAAGAAGACTGAGGGACTGTATTCAGTCGCTCCTTGACCGGAACGGGCAGTCGGCGTTGTTCTGCTCCATTTAAATCTGGTCTTCCTGTTCGCTCCCGATTCCGCACTTGCATCCATCGACTTCCTGGCTGCTGCTGCTGCTGTCTGAGGCGGGGGCGGTAGTGGTCGCTCTGAGAGCGGTTGTGGTGTTCCTTATTCCCCCTCGCTAATTCGACTCGTGCTTCGTCGCGTGGGGGCTGTCGTCGCGAGCCTCCCTTAATGAGATCGTAATCGACAAATATCGAGGATCGTCGGTACGAGTCGTTTCCCCGACACGAGCCAGAGAAAGCTTTTCCGGATTGTTGTAGCCGTAACATCGACGACATGCCGTAAGCCGAGCTAGCCAGAGAGGCAGTGAGAGCGTTGTTTGTTCGGTCGGTCAGTCTCGTTGTTGTGGACGGCACAATTTGCTTCGCAATCTTTTCCGCCGGGCCGTTCCCCTCATCGCGTTCCCTCTGACAGCCCCCCTCCCACTCGCTCCCGCCAATACCCCCATTGCCGCGGCCACCGTATGGTAACTCTCTCGCAGAGTGTTTCACTGAAACATGAGAAACTATGTATATGATTCGATGACCGAAGCGCGATGTCGCTCTGTTGGCTCACTCCAACGGCACCGATCAACTTCCGATAGATTGCGTCCGGGAACATGGAGAGACGGCAAGAATAACAAGAAAGTATCCGTTTCGTGTTCTACTCGAGACTCGTCTCGCGAGAGAATTTCTCGACCCGTGAGCCGACCATATCTCAACTGCCGAAAATGCGGGATACCGCGTCGTATTGATTTTATCGACTCGGCTCGATCGGATATCAGGGGGAAATCTGTTTGGTTCCCCTTGTGACATTGCCAGGATATGTACCTTCATGTTAGGGCGTTCGCACAAGAGCGCCTCCAACAGATACAAGTCGCTCTTCCCTCCGTTCGTCCTTCCGTCCGTCGAGCTGAAAGCGACCTCGGACTGAACAAAAAGACGGATAGGTACGAAGCGAGAAATCGTGACAGAGTGAATACAGTGACGATGGTTGACGATCCAAGCAGGGATGCCGACCGGTCGGCTGACCGGGTTGCGCGTTCGCTCGCTTGCCTTCCTGCCTGCCAAGGAGACACCAAGCGGAAACGGATATTTGAGTCGGAAGACGCCTCCGCTGCATTTCAGTATTCCTCGTCTCAAAAGCCAGGCAACTCGAAACGGATCAGCAGGTTGCTTACATTGTGAACGCCCTGGAAGCCGGGTCCAGGACGCATGGAGGCTTGTCAAAAGACCTATATAACATGTTGCTCACTTCATCGCGGTCCCCCGAAATAAGAGAACGCGTTTTCCTGCTCTTCTCTGAGGACCTTGGTCAGAAGCGCCCTCCTACCTAGACAGATGCTGTGCACGGATTGCGTCTTCATGTCGAGCTCTGACTTCCTTATTGTTGAGTTTATTTCGGAACGGAGAGCCGATGCAGTCGAGTACAAAGTACAAATAACAAGGTGGACTAACCTTTTAAAAAGTTTTCCGAATCGTCTTCACGATCAAGAAGTTTCCGCGACGACGTTACTGACGATTCGGAAACTGCTTTCCGGTTCACGGCGACTGCGGAATCGGAAGCGCAGGAAAAGCACTCACGGGCAATCGGCATCGGTAGAAGATCGTCGTCGAGTTTTTCAATCGTCTCCTCCCGGAAGATCCTTGCGAGCCGTCCGGAGACCGCCAGAAACCGCATTTCCTTGCCTTGCTGTCCTCTTCACTCGACGGAACGATTCTCCTGCAGGTGGGCGGACGTAACTCCATTCGAGACCGAAATTCCCCGGTCTCCGAGGGCTGCGATGCTCGACTCTACTAGACCGACAGGGTCCGAGTGTTTTCCTTCCATTCGCTCAAGCGGCGCTCCCACGATTGATTCCTCACCGGAGCCTCTTTTGATCGCGAATTGCTTTTCAACCTAACGGCATGTCTCGACAGTCCCCGAACTACGGAAGGGATAAGGCGGGCATTTAGAGACGAAGGTCCCGCAACATTCGGCGCTCCGTGAAGTAAGGAGAAAATCGATACTCAGTCTGCGAACAGCGGGAAGGCCCGCGAATAATCCTCGTTTCGTAGGCTCCTTGTCGGATGAAACCGATGAGTCCTCCATGCGGGCCACTGGTTGACGCGGTAGCTACTCTCGGTCTATCAGTGATTAATAGAGTGGAAAGGAGACGGATCAATTCTCTCCTCGGCTTGGCTAAGCCCTGAATCATGCCCGGAACATCAACTCGTTTCTCTTGAGCTCAAATGAATCTTCCACGAAGCGAACTTTAAATTGAGTTCACTCTTTATCGCTCCTGGATCTTCGGGGGAACCCCCAAATGCTTCTAAACAGAAGCAGGAAACAAATCCGACTTTCATTCCATTCGCTTGTAGGAGATGAACTTTCTGTATGTAGGCGTGAGTTGGAATGAAAGTTGTTCGAGTCGTTCATCGAAGATGCGTACGCCCCTGACAAGGACCGACATCCGCCGGTGATCGCGTGCTCAGGCCTCAGGCGGGCGATAATACTTCAACCGCCACCACTCGCCTGGGGACTCGCCTGATTAACACCAGGTATCTATGGATAGAAAGTGTCCCAGAGAAGGCCACCGGCATTTAATTATTCTGAGAGCGTGAGGCCAACCTATCTCGGGCTCTATAAGTCAGATCATCGGAAGTAAGAAGAAGAAAAATCCGACATGGCTCGCTAATACATATTATATATCGACGGGCTGGACTGACCCGGCCCCGGATAGCTCTTGTCGTGAAAGCTGGAAAACTGGTGCCAAGACGAAGAAACATTTTTAGACAGTTTTCTGAGCTTTTCCGTCCTTTTTTCCTTTTCCGAGAAGCTCTACTGGGTAGCGGATCGCTGGGCAAGACGGCTTAAGGCAGACATTCATGCCAGCTCAACCGGCAAAACAATGTCAAGTCCCGGAGGTGGTCCTTGCCATCCATTTCAACATCTTGTCTTCAGGGAGAAAATAAGTGCAGGTCTCCTTCTCGTTACAACTTGGCTATGCAAGACAGAAACTTTATCTTCTTCGCGCGAGCATCGAACCCGGAAGATCGCTGCCAAGTGGCAGTTGGGCTAAGGGAGAAAGAAGTTCACGCCACGTGAAAGACATTCGTTCCTTCTCTTGAAACCGAAGCATTCTTCCTTCGACATTTCCCTCTACTGCCATCCGTATCGTTTTCTGGGTACTTGAGTGATAAGCGTCCCAGGGACTCGGCTTGTGAGAAAACCCTTCTTTGTTCTGAGGAGGAATCGGATCCTGTACTGAATGATTTCGATGACTCTTCGTCGGTCTAGTCCCGAAGCTATCAGCTCCCCATCTGCGCTGTTCCGGTGTCGAAGATCATAATATTTGGGAGTCTCCTCTTGCCCTCTGATATACCGGACGCAGAGAATCCCGATCGAGGTGCTAGAGCGGAAGCTCACCCGGCGGTTCCTCACCCGGTGTCTCGCATCGAGGCCGAAGTGCCGCTGCGATTGCGTTCCGGTGTCGATGAATTCTGTGTGTCAAATCCACGGAATCCTCCGCAGTCAGCTCCTCCTTCCATACGCTCGCGGATTCCTGGAGCCCGGATCGAGTTCTATCGAATCGGAGTTCCCGATCGTGAGCGATGTGTGAGGCGAGCGTTTCAACAGGTTATCTCTCTTTTCCGCGGGCCCGGTGCCAGTCTAGGGGACCCAAGCCACCGGAGAAATCTTGAGCAGGCCGTTCTCTTCGTCGATTTCAATTCCTTAGGTCGACGATAGCGATTCCCCGGGAGGATCGAAATTCAGTCATGACATGCCGGTATTCCTGGAACGCCCCTTCACTCCTTTAATACGTACCCCGGGGCAATCTCGACCTGTCTAGAATGGAAGGGAGGGAGTGAGCGAGCGAGCGACGGAGCGCACAAGCGATCTTGGAATTCCTTTCCCACTGCGATACGTCACAAATCGGACGGATCTCGGAGCGATGCATTTCCACGCGGATGTTGTCATCCGCGTGAGGCCGGATATGGCGAGAGCCATTCACAAACCTTTTTTTTCAAGATCCATCTATTTTCTTCTGATGCCATTTTCGGCCTCGCCCTCTAACGAGAAACATTAAAATTAGGGATTGCGGAGGGGAATACGGAGCGAGCACGAATCAAATATCATGAATTAGAGTCGTCAGCTTGGAATATACTAGAGCAGAGTTGACCTTCGTTTCAGACGGAAACATTCATCTTCCTGTCGGTTCTGTTCACTCTGATTGTGATCGGGAACTGCGCTGTTCTCGCCACTCTGGTGACCTCGAAGAATCGCAAGTCTAGAATGAACTTCTTCATCATGCATCTCGCTATCGCGGGTAAGTTGTTGACAGGCCGAGTGTCGGATTCTTCATTCAGAGCAGAATCAGAATGAATTGTCTAGACGTCGCTTCTTCTGGCCTGGAACGATTTGTCATCGTCTGTCTTCTCTGTATTTTGCTTATACATACACTTAACTGATTCTGTTGCGCATACGAACTTCTACTCGAGTGCGACCGCAGTCACGCGGGAATAGTCTCCCTGAGTATTTCGCTTGTAGGCCGCCAGTTCATAGACATCTAGAGTTCGACGTAGACAGTTCGGAGTCGGGAAGAGCGTGGCGGCGCCAACCTTTCAGGCCGAGCAACTAAACTCTAAGACTTTCGTTTTCCCCAGATTTATTAGTTGGTCTGGTCACGGTCCTCACTGACATTCTCTGGAAACTCATGGTGGAATGGCACGCTGGAAACGCTATGTGCAAGATCGTCAAATATGCTCAGGTATGCTATGGGGGAAGCGAGGCCCGTGGGGAAGAAAAAAACTCACGAGTCTCTCCCAAGACACATGTATAATCACTTGCATCACGAACAAGCGCGAACACTTCCGAGGGTTTGGAGGGGCGGCCATGCTGCTTTACATCTCCACGCTGTTCTCGGCTGCGCTTCGGCCGCGCGTTCGTCGATAGATTGTCAGGTTCTCTGAAGTTTAGCCTTGACGAATCACATTGGGCTCCATCGGCTTATGATTCCTCTCGAACGGAAACCCATAAATTCTGAGAGTCGCTCCTCTACTCCTGTCGGCGCCCCCCCCTCACAATGACGGCTTGCCGCTGGGAAATATAAGACTTTTCTGTGGATGAAGAGCCCATCTTTCTCAGCGCTCACTTCACGAATCATTGGGTATCTTCCTCATTTGAAGGTTCCGATTGAAGCAATTGATATTTAGTCGTGATCGACTTGTTATTTTCAGGGCGTTGTGACATATGGTTCCACGTACGTGCTCGTCGCTCTCAGCATCGACCGGTATGATGCCATAACTCATCCGATGAACTTCTCCGGAGGATGTAAGTATATTATCGAAAGGTATTTTCCAGAAATAGCTCCCGACTGCTCTCGTCATGGTACGGAAGCCATCGGAGGTCATCACAAAGTCAGTTGGAGCTTACGGCGGGGACATTCAAATCCTTTGAGCACAGCAGTGGATTTCTGACGAGTCACTAAAGCTCGACGACAAAGACGCCCGACGCTCATCCCAGGAGCTCAAGTGGAGGCGCTGTGGAATGATTTGTGTTCGGAGCTTCCTTCAAATCAGGCCCGAATCCTCGAAATCTCTTGATGCACTACTCTATCCACCACGTCGCAATCGTTCGCCGCCCCACGGCCAGTCTGCCGACTGCGTGGCGCAGCAGATGCGAAGGTTTACGCATATCTCAATCGCTTGCAACATGTTGTCACCGGTCGCGGGAGGAGTGTCGCGAAACGAACTCTCCACCGAAGGCCAACTCCTTCCGGCAGAGCTCGGATCGAATCCGAGTTGGCTTCCGGCAAGCCGGAGCCACGCGGCTCTTCATTAATCTGCGCTTTGTGGTTCTCAACGGAGCTGTAATTGAGAATAGCGGCGTGTGGTTGCCAGACGGAGTTTCGCTGCACTGCGAATGCTCGGCCCTTACCGCGGAGCGCCGCAGTCTGGTTGAGTGAATAGTCGCCCGCTCAGCGCTGCGACTCGATTCGACCTGTCCGAGAAGACATTGTCTTGAGTCTCGATATTGTAAATGGATTTGAAGACGCGAGCTGAATGAGATTTTCAGCCGATTCAATGAAGTTCCCTCTCCAGTGTCATTGCCAGTCCCACGGCGTCCTCAGTCTTCCGACCTACGTACGATTCCGAACTGAATTCCCGATCGCAAAACGGCGAATCTTGCTGGTGAACGTGTCCGATAGCGGGAAATGGCATTATGTTTGAATATGTGTGATGGATCCCCCAGTCGCAAGGTGGTCCGAGAGTTCTAGTTCTGGGAACGAGAAGTTCCCGAGAGACGGATTCGGTCCTACGGATGCCTACCCAGTTCACCGATTCGAAAGGTGGATTGCGGGGCAGAAGAATCTCCTTTCTGGTTTGATTTGAGCCACAGTCGCTGGGCGCTCAATCAGGGACTTGTGGATGGTTTCGTCGAGCCTCGCGAGGTTTCAACCATGACGAGCATCGTAGGGGCTCCAGGCGATTCGCCTCTTCGCCTGCTCTTTGGTTAGATCCGTCACGGAATCAAAATTGAGCCTAATGGATTGTTGACTGATCGCCCAGCAACCTTAACTCTCGTATAATAAGACCATGCCCGTGAGCTCTTGGTTCCGCGAAGCAGAAAAACTTAAGCTGAGCTTAGTTTTCGGAATAAGCTTCTAGGGACGGTAGTTAGTTCTTTCAAGGTCGCTCACCTCGATCCGCTGTCGTGAGCCCCTCCTGGTAATTCGATTCGAGCAAACACCGTTTGTATGGAGGCTTAGAAGAAAGTCTTTGGTCTGGAACTCGGTCTATCCGTATGGAGAACGCGAGCCGTGGGCAGCCCACGTGCGTCTGCCCGTGCCATCGACGATAGATCAATAATTCATTGAGCTCATGAGAGCCCTACGTCTATTCATTGGAAACGATAGTTTCCGAAGCTCTCGAATGTACCCGTGTACTAAATCGTTCGAGCCACATTAGGATCGAAATAGTCTCCTCGCGCCCTTTGTCGGCGCGATGCGCACTGATCCTCCACCAAGACTCGAAGCGCAGACAATGACGTCGGAGAACCTCCATCAAGCAGGAGGATCGGGCAAGACGACAGCAAGCAAGCAAACAGCTGCTACGTCCGAGCTGATATACCGGAGATTCCCGGAACTTTTGCTTCGAAAAAGCAGACTTCTGCTCCCGGATGATCATGGAGCCGGAACAATCATGGAGCACTCAAGTTCCTATGGACAACTCTGAAATTCGATACGAGCCGTCCGAATCCGAAGACAGTGTCTGGATCTGGTTCCCTCGGCAGGATGGAACTCCGGAACGGGCTCACTTACGGCCATAAGTCGCAGCTTGACTCTTCATCACGGTACCTGCTCATTGATCCCGGGGGTGCCGCCTGTTGACTTCTCGCTGTCTCCCCGTCGAGTTCCTGAGCCTTCTGCTGCGTGTCTCCCGGTGTTTCCCCTATATTTCTTCGACCCCGCCCACCTCCACGCCTCGGTTGGAATTGGGCTCGACGAGAAGCAGCCGCGGGCGGGACCATTAGCGAAAAATGGATGTTGAGATCACCTCTTGGTCAAAAACCCTATCTTCACGCCCATTTGTCGAGGCAAGGTCGCGTGGGTGTCTCCAACGTCGCTGCGGAGTGTTCCTACACGTAGGGCGTTGTGGGTCGTCTTAAACACTTTTCACACGTCTCAAAGTTTTAGTCGACAATCTATCCGACGGCTGAAAGTTCTGTGTCTCAGCACCCAGGCCTCCTGGTACCCGGACAACGCGAGAGAGATCGACGGGACAGGGGAGTTGAAGGAAATCGAGCCTCTGTTAGTGAAATTCCGGAGCTCGGGACATCATTCGGAACCCGTGGACCTCTGACTTCCTTTTTCGGTCTCCCTTTCCTTCGAGCTCCCCATGAATTTTTTTAGGAAAGGGTCCGAGATGTCCTTGTGAATATACCGGGCGCGTGTTCCGCCAGACTCGACTTCCCTAATTTTCCATGGCTTCTACATTATTTCTGAGCGAGGGACTGTGCGGGTAGTGCCGCTGAATGGATCGTGTGAAGCCACTCAACATTGTGGCAGTTCAAGTGTTTCTCCCCTCTGGCCTAACGAGGAGAATCGTGATTATGATGACGAGGCACTCAGTACGCCATCAAGTCTCTTTCAGTTCTCTGCCCGGCCGCTCAGTTTCGCAGGGTGAAGGAGGCTCGAGAGAGAAGAGTCGTGATGAATGGTTGTCGAGATCATTCCTCATCTCCAACCCTCCGTCGCCTGCGATTGTCTTCGCTCTGATTCGACGCCGATAACGTTTCGCTTCCCGATTCTTTGTCTTGGCAGGGCGGCATTCTTTTCCCCAACGATTCGGAGACGTTCATTTCGTGTTCGACCCAGCTCGATGCGATACGACTCTTCATTGACTCGCAAGCGTATCGGCGTGCGTCGACGTATATTCTCGAAAACCTACCGTGAAGGGAGCCGTCGGCCCCACATGCTTCGAAACCGACCTAGTTGACAATTTTCACGGGCCGGACCTCCACGTCCTCCCTGGTCCAATAAAGTATTGGTCTCTTCGAGAACCAAACTTTCTGCAAAGAATGTCCTCCGGCTGGAACGAGGAATAGGTGCAATTGCAAGAGGGAGCAGCAGCCAGATGTTGATAGTCACGCTTGTGGAAGTTATGGATGCTTTCACGACCAGACTTCGGAGAATGAAGGCTCGCGAATGAAAACTTCGGGGGCGGAATTTTATTCTCCCGCTGAATTCTTACTCTCGACCTATAGATACGTACCTACGCGGGCGAACGGAGGTTGTCGCAAGGAGTTTCCCTGTACACCGGAACCGCGAAACCATAAAAACGGAACTCCAGCATTCAACAGTCACAGCTAAATGCGGTCAATTGACCTACGGCGCGTGGGGAGAACGAAACTTGAACAGAGGTTTTGTCTATTGCAGGGAAAAGAGCTCGTTGGCTCGTGGCTTCCGCCTGGCTTTTCAGTTTGATCATGGCTCTTCCGGCCCTCTTCATCAGTAGTGAGAAAGAGGTCAGGGGTATGAGGCAGTGTTGGATTGAGTTCACCACATACGAGTGGCGGGTGAGTCCCCGACGAGAGTGAACGCACGCATTATACGCCGGCTCTGTCGATGAGAGGCGTGCTCCCGCCTGTGCCCCGGTTCGGACGAGTCGAATTTTCAGTAGGTTAACGCGGGTGAGAACCCGATAATACAGAGCCGTTGACGCTCACGCCTCACTTCAACTTCACCCGCAGGTGTACATTACGATCGTGGCAATTTCGTTGTTCTTCATCCCAGCAATTATTATAGCAGCTTGCTACTCTATTATTGTCTACACCATCTGGACCAAGTCTAAAATGCTCTCTTACCCAAAGAGTAGCCATTCGGCGTCTAAAACATCCAAGTCCAGCGTGTCGGTCGGTAAGTAATAGGCTAATAGCGACTTGCGCCGTACCGTCCGGGGGCGAAGCCGAGAGCAATGATAAGTTTTTTCTTCATATTCGGGCGCAAATCGACCAACAACCGTGTTACGCTTGATATCCCTCAGGTGGACTTTCGACAAAAAGTCAGAAAAGTTCAACGTCTGCGAATGTGGACGTCGAGAGCAAAAGAGCCAGTTCCAGGGGTATCATTCCGAGGGCCAAGATCAAGACCATCAAGATGACTCTTATCATTGTGTTTGGTAAGATAAGGATAACCGCGCTGTTGATGATTGTCTTGCTTCCAGATTGTGTTCATGGATGGGTTTTCTTTTTACCAACCCTCAATCGATGAATAAGAATGACCCTGTTCCGATTTTGAACACAGAAGAGACTCCACGATATCTCCTCATGGCTGCCGAAAACGGTTGACGCAATCGGGATTCCATAGGAGCGAATCGAGAACTCGACTATATCGACAATTTAGAACAACCAAAAGATCAGGAAATCAGGCTTCTTCTCCGGGGAGTTGATGTAATCGAGCTTCCACTGTACCGTGATCTGCGAAAACGTGGCAGAGTTATCTGACTGGGACTTCGAAAAGCTCATTCTGACGCCCCGTGCTCGGCCTCTGCTTGCGCTCACATCATCCTGGAAGTCAAGAGATTGTCAAGTATCCGGTGTTTCGGGGCTTTGACTCCGCGGAAGGTGTCTTGCGTGAAAGGCGTGAAATTTCGCCTGAGCGACGCTTCCAGACTCCCAGATCAATGACATCCGACTCGTATTCATTACACCCATGTCGCTGCGGGAGAATAAGCGATTCCAGTCAGGAGAAACGGCGGACCATTCGTATCAATCGGAGACCCTTCGGCGACCTCGAAGGACGTTTTCTCTCGGAGGCCATCCAAACTAGAAGCTCCCCGAGAGAGGGACGAGAGAGATATCCAAGGATCCCGTTGGGACTCATTGGCGTCCTGGTTAATGATTCCGAAAAAAATAAAAATGAGGAAGGAGAGCTGCAGCATGGAGACACTCTCGCAAACCAGGGCTCCTCCGAAAGTTGGTGTATGTGAACACTATGTAGTTCGTTGAAGCCATCGGATAGAACTGCGACGTAAAATTTGGGGTCATACAGACGACAACTGTAGGTAGTATCGCAGAATATATCGCTCTGGTTTCATCGAAACGAGTAGGACCCGCTCATATGTTACAGATATTTATTTCTTCTTGCAGTTTTCGTGATTTGCTGGAGTCCGTACATGATATACGACCTTTTGCAAGTGTACGACTACGTAATCTTCGAGGACAAAAAGACAGAAAATGCTGTATCAACGTTTATGCAGTCTCTGGCACCGCTCAACTCATTGGCCAACCCCATAGTCTACTGCCTTTTCTCTACGCACATTTGCAGAAATATCAGGTAACAACGACGGCTGTGCCGACAGTCGATAACCCGAAATGTCTATAATCCCTGTGTACTACTAATAATTGTATCTAGATCATTCGAAACGATTGCATTCTCACAACCTAACGAGTGCCTGACTCACGACTTTGCGGTCCGGAGAACTGTGTAGACCGCACAGGACTGGAGCATACTCTTCGGATATGGGATAATAATGACGCCAATCTGACCTAATTAGAAGAGTTCCATTCAACTAAGCCGTGCGGTTTATTTCGAAACCTACTCTAACTAAATTTCATCCGTTCGCTTCGCTCAACTGTCAGGGATTTCATAAGGACGCACTTCATGGTGACTAAATTTCAAGGCTTTTCGCTTAAGCAGCCTAGCCTAAATTCTCAGACCCAGAGCCGCTCATCGCGAGACTTATACGGCAACCTCTGATCGTATGCCTTGACGCTTCAGCTTTGTTAGGGTATAGCTTCAGCTAAACACAAGTCAATTGAGAGGAGAAAAAATTCTCTTGTTTTGGTGAATAGTTATAGATATCGAAGCTAATTCAATTGTGTAGACTGGACGATTGGTTCAGAGGTTAGCCTGGTTCGAGCCGTCGTGAAATACGTCGATCTTCGGGTGCAGGGAGGCGACCCATATTCACCTCCTGGATTGGCTCTTGCATTTTGAGCTAGCGAGTTTGAAATCCGTAATTCAACGGCGTTGTCGAAGCAAGCGTTGCGTGATTTCAGCCAAGAATCCGAGTGGATAGCTAACTTGACCAAGCGACCTGGGGTAAATTAAGCCCCAAGTCTGTAGAACAGTCAACTCCCTAGAAGCCTATCGGCAGGCGTCGCTCGTTGTGGCCAACAACTTGCTTCGGTGCTGCTAGGCTAGACGATGTACTTCTACCGCGCATGGCGATGGTGGTCGCTGGTGATGGTCCGATTTGCCCCAACTGCATCCGCCATCGCCCCTTTCACGCAGCGTCTAAGTGTGACGAACGACATCGCGAGCTTGATGAACGACCCCTCGCCGAGATGCACGCTTGTCTTTCCGTCACCAGTTGCCAATTTTGTACAGAGAGTCTTGCTCCCGAAACAAAAATAAAGACGTTGTAATCTTCATCTATCCATCCGAGCGAGTCGGCCAGCCAGCCACGCTTTTGTGGAGTCGAATGTCAAAACCCTGGACTCTGCGTTGGCCGTTGGCCTCGCGAGTGTCTGGAGTGCCCCTCTGTCAAGTGATGCAATCACTGTCTGACTCCGGGGACCCACAGAATGAATCACAGGCAACAAAGATTTATGCTGAGCGCGAATGCGCTGTCCTTATTTGATGACAATGTTTGCATGACGCTGATTCGACCTAGAAGTATTCCAAACGGGTAGTTTCTAGCTCAACTCCTCATTCAAGACTGCGCGGAGAATCGCTAGGGCGTGATTGGAACTCTCGGATTTGTGCGGAACCTCTCTCGCTTCAAGCTTTCTATTTTGAATATGGGGGAAATCTAAGCATGAACCCCGTGAAGGAATGGAGGATTTCGACCTAATTTCTTCATCGTTCTTGGATCTTGGACGTGTACAGAGTCCGGCTCATATATGCAGACTGTTGTGGATGTTGAGATGAAGCTTAGCAGGAAGGGCAAGCTACAATTAGGCGTCGCCAAAGCTGAGCTTCGAGATTACCCTCCCATCATGGCCTATCATTAAATGGAGCTTCGTCAATCCGCAGGAATCATCCCTGGTTCGGTTGGCTCGCCGGCAGGCTGTGTATGTGCTCCCCATGCAGCACCTTAGCGAAAAGAGACAACAACACGATATCTAGTCACAGAAGACTCACCACATCTAACTACGCCACGATGTCGACATCGCTCAGGTACGTCGAAGACTGCGAGGAGTGCTAGCAGGAGCACAATATCCTACGATTGAAGTTTTCCGTTGAGTCTTGCTCTCCAACGTTATCAGCAAGACAACGGTAGCGATGAATTCAGAGAGCACCAGAGCGGATTTCCGCTCCAGGGTCCACAATTGCCGGTATGATATCCGTCATCAAGGTCTGCTGTACGCGGGGGAGCCTATTCGCAATGTGTTCCTTCGCGTACTCGGAGGATCTTTGCGGGGAATTCCGCAAAGTAAATATTAGAGGGAGCGCGGTTCCCTAGACAAGCACATTGGAATCATCGAGATGAGAGCCGCGACATGTTGGACGACCGATCGACCATATCACGACGATACATGTCGGCTGCTGCTCCCTTTGAGCACGGACGCGGTAGAGAGCATGTCTGATTTTTCGAGAAAGAAAATCAGGGCGAGAGTTCGAATCAATCTTCCAGAACGCGCTCGTGATCTAAGGAGCGCTGGTTCACCGACTCCCTGGAACGCTGTCAATCGCCGCAGTTCACCGGTCACCTCACTCTAGATGGCCGAGGGAGCTTCTATTGGCCTGAGGCGCGGCTGCTGGGTCGGTCCACCACGTAGCGAGGCAGCGTTCCTCAGCCCGGGGCCCGAATAAGGAACATCATTAGAAGGAGCAGTTATCGACACAGCGAATTGGAAATTAGGTTCTCGATCGAATTTCGAGAGAGTATAGACCGCTATATTTACGGTCGCAGGATCTGGTCGTCACTGCCAGCAGACTTCGCACGTCTATTCAGTTTTTTCGAAACGGTTATTGAGGCTTAGACCGGCGGAAGTGGCCTCGGAACTGGGAAGCCAAGGAAAAACTTCTTTCATGAATATGGGAAAACTTCACTGCATGGTCGCCGCACCGGATGGATTCGAATATTGCCTATCGGTTGAGCTCATGGCCCTCCTAATCGAATCTCCGAGGCACGGATTCGAATTCAGGGAAGGAGGTTCTCGAAAAGGTCTTAGAAGTCTCTGAGGATCCACCGGAGGGTAAAGGTTCGGAAACGCCAGACAGAGAGAAGCTCTCCACAATTCAGCCGGAGACTATCTGACACGGATGTCACGGACCGATATCTACTCAGTCAGACATCTACTGGCTCACCGAAAACGACATCGTGGACCACTAGTCGGTCTTGCGACGCTCGGAGCGATTGTCTGATAATTCAGATCGAATCATGGCCGGCTCGGTGGGTCGCTTTGTGGGTGGATCGGCTGTGTCGTCAAGTGCAGCTCTTCTTGACCCTCGGTCGCCGTAAGGCAATGACGCTTCTCGTCGCCCTTCATAGGAAGTAGGTTGTTTGCTGCGCTGCCGTTGGTGGTCAGACGAGAGAGGGCTCTCTGTGATGTGTGTCATATTACAAAACTTTTTCACACTCACATGGCGCGTCTCTTCTTTCTCTCGGGAAGACTAACGGAAGTGTCCTCGTGGCCAGCCAGCCAGCCCGTGTTCTTTCAACATGAGCCCTTGATGCGTTCAAGAGCAACACTGTCATAAGCCAGAAACCTTGACAGTACCAAAAACTATGATAGAATCTACGCTTTTCAGGGAGTGGCCTTCCCGATCCGCATACCACGGTGCAAATAAAACGAACACTCTCGAGTAACGAAACAGTCTTTTCGGGCAATTCCAGCGCGGTCGGAAATCTTCCCGGAGGCTTGTTAGAATCATGGAGATCAGTTCAGGAGGCAGAAACTATTAGAAGTCGCAGCAGAAGTAATTGCGGCGACATTAGTATCAGCGGTTGTTCTGGTCCTTTCCGGAGTTTCCGAATGCGGGGTCTCAGCGGAAACGAATTCCTCCTCGCATCGCTCGCTCAAGGCTGCGGAGGCATGTAGACCGGTAACATGGGCGGATACCACCGTCAAGCAGACAATGGCTGATTCCATTTGGTCTTATTTATTCATTCAGAATATTTTACGGGATCGCCGAGTCGCCTGGGAGGATGCTGTGCGTGCGTCCCTGATAAGCCGAGCCCATTGCATGTCACTGTCTGCTAGGTAGATGTAGATATTGAGTCCGGAGAAGCAGTGGTCAGGAACGTGGGTCTGGACGCGGTCTCTAGACCTCGGTGCACCACGGTGATGACTCGACGCGGAACGAACGGCGCAGCGAACTCTGGGATCCACCGCGAGGAAACGAGTTACCGTCGGAGACCCGATTTTCTGGAAGGTGAGATTAGGTTATCCACGCCTCGCGGACTCTTTTTCGAGGTAGGTGAGACTTTGCCGCGAATGTCTTTCCCTTCCGATTCCCGGTCTATCTCCCCCAATGGCACAGAATCTACATTCGTCGCAGACAAGTCATTTCCGATAGAAACACCAGATCCACCCGAGAGCAGTACGGTTTGCTATGAGCTATGAGCCTCTGATGAGCGAATCTAATCATTCAGCAAGAGTGAATTTCGCGATCTGCCGAATTTAGGTTCGGGGTACGACACGCTAGATGCCTAAACCACAACGTTCATTCCGTTCGTTCCCCGCTACACGCTATTCAACCGCCCAAACCGTCCTTTGGGCCAGCCAGCCTGCCTGCCCGTTCGTCGAGCGGAATCTCTGGGACAGACGTGGCAGCAATCCTCCGGCAACGATCGCTCTATCAAGTCTGCAGTCCAGTTGGCAAAAGCAATCTCGTCCGCTGGCTGCCACTGTTCTTTGTATTGTATCGCCATATTGTATTGTCTGATATCGTCCGATGTCTTCCTTGCCAGGACCCGGAAGCATCACGGACACTGTCGATGGGAGTCGCGGTTGACACGAAAGGACACCGACACTCATTGCAAGAAAGCAAACAGGCAGCTAGCTAGTCAAATGAGCAAGCGGGCATAATGAAGCACGGTCACGGTAAAGGCGACCGTTGTTGTGCTCTCCGGCCGATTGACGACGTATTGTGGTGATATATATATATATATGGATACAGTGATCAATCCGCTATCCGGCCGGGAATTCGTTCCATCTGTCCCTAATCAAATACGGTGACCTCTGAAAGCTGACTCTCGCTTACCCCATTCTGCATACGATTCCCGACGTTCTCTATCCGGATCCGATCTCCTTCATCGCCGGAGTCTCTCCGATTCTCCCCGACTCCGTCTCAATTCCGTCGCACGCACACACAGCCTCCCGACCAAAATTGATCCGGAGTCCCCCGCTGTCCCCTCCCCTTGCTTCCCTATTCGATAATTCTCTTCTTCTGAAGACTCAATGGCCTATATTTCGGCGCAATCGTTGCTGAGGGCGACGATCGATGGGATGTGAGAGAGTCGTAATCAAGCAAGTTAATTCGGATCTCGGAATTCATTATTCAGAGCGAGCGTAAAATGAAAAGACTAGCATCGGCGTCGCGGGCACGCGCGGCCGCCCTCGAGAGTGTCCGGAGCTCTCGCGGAAGGCGGCGAGAATATCTAGAGTTATCACGCATCAGTCAGTGGCTCCAGCAAGTTGTTGATGTACTTGTAGAAAATCATTCGCAAAAGCGCTCCTCTGTTCCAACATGCGAAAACCAGCAGCTGTAGGTCCTATCTGGTGGGCGGTGGGCGGGCAGGTTGCTCGTGGTTCGGTTGCTTCGATGGTCAGTCGACTCATTGCTTCCAAACCGTTCAAACTGGAAACCTTTTTCTTCGACGAGGCTTTCGCCAACGGGGAAAATCACACGATCTCCGAGGCGATCGATTCTTTATCAGATTCGCCGGTTGAGCGCTCTAGCTCGGAGAAGATTTGTGGTGATAATCACAGGGAGGGCGGTAGTTCACGATGACCAGCCCTCCGGCTGTCTCGGTCGATATTTCAGAGAAATCGTCTAGTGACACCGCCGGCCCTTATCAGAATCTTCGTCAGAGGACGCTGTCGTCTAGGGAACAAATTCAATATTGCCACCGCAGCCTTTGCAACAGGTTTGCCGCAGGCTTTAGCCGCAGAAAAACTAGCGTTAATTAGTCTCCGAGTCGCCGCTCCGCTTCGCGCTTCCACTGTCTGCTTCTGTCTCGTAAGCGTTGTCTTAATTAGCCCTCAATGTGCACGAGAGCGGCATTCCTTCGCACGACTCGTCCGCTCTTGAGCTTTCAATCCAGGAGAATGTCTAACCGAGTGGTTTGATTCACGGCATGCGAAACAGGAAGAAAGTTACGTCCCTGAGATATAAAGGTACGGCAGGTTTCCACGATCCCAAGCGACGATTTGGAATCGATACAGCGGCTCCGGATTCGCACCCGAGTCGAGTGGGAAATACGCTTGCTGCGGGACAAACCGTCTCGAGCAGGATCCTAAGTCGTCCCGCGCGCGAGACCGATGCAACACTTACAATAGTCCGGAGGATGTGTGGGAATCATCTTCCCTCGGGAAGCGCATTTTTGTCTGGGGCCAACTCCGCTGCGAATCCTGTAGCTGCTTGCAGTCCATATCATTCACTGCTCGAGAGAAGGGAGGTGAACGAATCGAGGCCTCGGCCAAAGTACGAATCGGGAGTGGAAGCTTCTGCGTCCGTTGTTGACGGAGCAGATATTGCTTGTTTCAGATCACTGATTGGAACGGACATAGGTCTGAGACGAGTTCTCACCTACTTGTCTTTCACCTCAGTGCCACCTACCTTAGTGGCAAGTGGCAGTCGGTTGTTCCTCAGAGTGCAGCGTTCCCCGTCGCGCTCAGCTTCTGCTCTGCGCTCCCTCTTATGGAGGGTTAATGCCCCACACCGTTTCTTCTTCTGTTGGTGTTGACGTCGGCAGCGGCGCGGCGTCGTTGTCGTCGGTGTGCTCGCGGAGCTTGAGTGCCGACGCTATGGCTGTCGATTAAGTGGCCATTAGCGGCTGCTCGAACGGCCAGCGGATCAGCCGCGGCAAATGTAAAACTAGGATGGAAACGCCTCGCTCAGTTGGCCGTGCCAGACCGTCGGACTGGACGCGCATGGAAGAATGCCAATAAGCAAAGCGTCACTGCCCGTCTGAGGGACGAACGTTAACGCGTATTTTACGAGCAAAGTAGCGGCAGCGGTTCACGGTCTTCGGTAGCGACTCCGGAGGCGAGAGGGGCATCGCCACTAGGAGCGTTTGCAGCTGCAGCAACATAATTACACCCCCTATTCCATCAGTGGTTCCCTCGCAAGCGGTATTACGCTGCAACGTTAAGCGAACTGAGTGAAAAAGCGAGTCAGCTGACCGTTCACTCCGCGGTCGCTGCTCTCGTGGCCGCATTGTCTTCGCAGAGCCTGCGGGGACACGCGCAAAAATTGTGGAAACGGAAATACCGCGTGGGACCCCGATGGGGAGCGCGGACGCCGGCATTCAGAGAACCTCGACGTCATCAAGCGTTTTAGATGAATACGTTCGCGGGACCGGGAAGTTCCCGAGGAACGCAACTAGAAACAAGAGCGAGCAGCACAAGCTCGTCTCTTTCGTGAAATAATCGCGCTTCTGAGTTTCTAGAATGAGCTGGGCGTGGGCGGGATTTGCGTCATTGACTCGAAACCGTAATTGAATTCGTATGCTCTCTTACAGGCAATCCGGTCGGAGTAATTTGAGATTGACCGAGGCGAACTCGGGAGCTGATCAACTACCGGCACCCGACAGGAAAGCAGCTGTTCGGCAGCTAAACTCACTCGTATAGCATACGGCCCACGACTTGAGTCCCGTTGTGGAAGCGCTGGATCCCTCGAGCCCCGTCGCTGGAAATCTGGATGAAACCCGCGAAACTTGTCTGTAGGCACGACGCGACGCATCCCGACGGCTTCCCCGCTTTTGTCTCAAGAGCGACTATTCCTCCCGAACTGGAGCAACGGAGGATTTCCCCAGACGTATGGTCTACCTCGATCGGGATAGTAGAACATTTTGGGGATCCAGATGGGAGACTCGCGGCGATGTCGAGTGAGGGACGTCCAGCGACCATGCTTCTCAAGTCAAGCCTCATGTTGTGAGTTGTGATATCATTTTGGAAAAGCGTGCTCGGAACGCCGGCACGATCTACTTTTCATAAGCCGAAGTCTTCATAAAACAGATGTATTTTCAACCGAGATCCTCAACACCGGACGGTTGCATGCGACCGGCGAGCGACGAGAGCAAGCCACGAGGAATCCAAGCTTAGCTTCGAGACTTGTGATTGCTCGGCTGGAAGTTCCGGGAGTAAGTGATCCGAAAGAGCCAAGTTCCCTCGACCGACACACGGCAGCGAGACACTATGTATATCCTCGGAGAAGCTCTTTCCCCGAAATGATCGCTCCTCGCTGGTTTTTGCGTAAAACGGTTTAAGGCTCTGCCCGCAGAGAGGCACGAACTCAAGCTCATGCTCTGCTCGTGGCTTTCCGCGGGCGAGTTTCTTTCACCAGGTACGCTAGCCCGTGGGTCCAGAGACGACCTGATCGGGGGACATCCAAGGTTTCTTTATCATGTTGATGTCTTGCGTGACCACTGCTACCTTGTCGCAGTCTAATTCAGGCCGGTGACCGTTTCCCACGGCACAATAACCCCGACTCCCTGAAGAATTCCCAGTGTTCGCTACCCCGCTCATCCAAAGAAAGACCGAATGAGGCTTTCAGAAATGTTAATCTGTTAATCTCGTCCTTGTATGATTTCCCTCTACATTCCCAGGAGCATAGTATTCTTCACACACGTGGACGAAGCATGAACAAACGAGTGAGCGGAATGGCTTACCAGCGATAATCTACACGAAAATTATTATGTCTATGATCAAGTTTATGTATTAACGAGTATTCCATGTCGATGACTGTAAAATTCCTCATCAAACCTCTGACGCGTACTGTGTAGAATATGTTATCGATCTTTTGATGTACAGCGGAAATTCGTTATCTGACACGTGAATGGCGAACGGAACAGAGCATTCTCTTCTCGAATCGGAGTCAGATTCGAACAATCATCGCGATACCGGATTTCGCATCTTTAAGAAAAATCAACCCCGGCTCCGCTCCAATTCTCAGCATCTCGGAGATGAGCTGATCTGTTCCGCATGTCAGAGCGACGACTATGTTCTGTCGATACCCCCGAACTTGACGCATGTGGATTCCACCGTATCGAGACGACACTGAAGTTTCGAAAATGGGAAAAATGTGATACGTCATCTTAGTGTTCTATCCATCGAAGATCACCCATCGCCCAGCGGAGCGGTAATGTTCCTTCTGAACTCAAACTTTGAATAAAGTGTAACCGATGGACTTAGCAGGAAATGTCTCGATGCAATCGATCTAGATTTATCTCATCGTCGGCCAAGTCCCCAGGTCTTACTTCGGATCAAAAGGAAGCATCGGTATGTGGACAAGGGGTCGCCCCCAAAAACTCCGGGGTACATCTGATCAAAGCTCATCTCCAACCATGTTCGTCCGATTGATCTTTTTTTTCCGATTCGTCCAGTCCGAAGCCCCGGCAGAGTCTTCGAGACGGATCCCAGATTTCCCGGGGACTCTCGGTTCCATCCGCGTACAGAGCGATGCTTTGGGCTATTCTCGATTTTCAGTGCCGCTCTCACTCAACGGTTAAAATGTCCGCCTCGCTGGTGTGAATGCGGATCGTGAAACGGGTGAGCTAAGGGAATATGAGAAACCTCACAAGGTGGGGGGAACAATCCGGGGATCCTCCGGGGTTGCGTCAGTCGCCTTTCCTCGCGAGGGATCGAGCAAGGTGTGACAGCAAAGGCTGCAAAGCGATTGATTCTTCTCGGAGTCTCAGATAGGACAAGCGCGATGAAATCATCTGGCCGATCCCCACCTGGGCGGCTGATCTAGGTATGCTCGTGCCGTGGAGCCCGGGGGGTCAATCTGGGCTTCCCGCAAAGTCAAATGATGAAGGGTCTCTGAATCTCACCGAACACGGAGTTTGACGGGCTCAGTCTCGCGAGCGCTCCCCGAAGGTAGCGAGGCAATCGAACTTTTTTGGAAATATTCAGCAGACTCCAATACAGAGGCCTGTATCACATGGATCTCGAGAATTGTTCGGGTCCGAGCGATGTATCTTCCCGTCTCCCGGGAAGTTCCTCAGCCTTAATCATGCAAGCTCGCGGCGAATATCGAAGAATAATATCATTCAAAGCGGAACCAGCTCATCAGGTGCGAACTTGAATGAAGATGATAACAGTGGATCCGGAGTTCCCGTCGATTTCGTCTCGCCCGAAGAGTTTGCAGAAGCGGTTCGATATCCGTCAAACTATCAGCCTTGTCTCGAGCTCCCTCCTGTTTTGATTTGGTCTTTTCCTCGTGCGCCGTCTATGCTTCAATGGATTACTCAGGGCTCTGCGAAGGATTCCTGAATGGTCCGAAGCTTCATCACAAAAGACACACAGGAGCGGAGTAGAGCTATTGGTTCTCGTCGAATCGGCGGGTATTCGTTTAGTCTCCAATAATACATGAGAGTCCTCGCGCGGATCTCCTGTGACTCTTGAGAGGGGAGGCTACGCCTTGACTCAATGCAGCGAATATATTATCACATCACCCAGCGAGCTTCAAAGCCTCGTGCTTATAACGCTGATATTGTTTTTAGAGATCGCAAGAGAATACTAGCAGGGACCATTGCTCAATGGTGAGCTCCAACATTAGAATATTCAGATAATCGACCTGAGAATTGACTAAGAGTGAACCCCCACTCCCGCAGAAGGGATGGGCTGGTGGAACGAGATAACCGAATACACAACTCGATCCGAAAGAATCTGCGTCCTAGCCTTTCGATGCTGTGATCTCTAAGAGATTCGAGAAGTCGCATGGGAAAATACGGTTGTTGTTCGCTTTTACCGATATCCGGAGTTTCACGAAGAGACAAAGCAACAAAAGGCGCGACCGAGGGATCCTGGAGGAGATCACTAAACATTTTTTGCTGCTCTCCAGCGCGTCCGCGTCCCGGATCGCCGTGCTATTTGCTGACGTCAACTGAGTGAGTGGACGAGCGAGTCGCGCAACGTTCAACTGTTCAGACTACACAGTTTCAGAAACAGGGAACCATAGACTCACCCGCGGAGTCCTCCCTTATTCTGGTTCCAAATTGAATATAAAATTGAGAGTACAATCTCATTCCAACCACGAGCGGTCGGAGTACAGACAGATATGTATTCAGGAAATCTAGGGGGGAGTTCTTGGGGGGCGCCTATCCGCGATGCCGCCGCATATCGAAAGGCTCATTTTATTTCACAGAGTTTATAGGCGACCGGGGCGAAGCCTTGGGCGACCGGACGAACCTAGCAAGCCGGCAACCAGCGGCTGCTTGTTGAAAATAGTTCGACGTCCCCTGCTTGGCAAAATTTGCTCTTTCCACAAGAAAGTCGCGTTTAGCCGATTCGGCCGTCAGTCCAGGCTATGTCGACGGCGGCGACGACGACGTCGTCGAGGATTCTCCTTTATAGCTCAATAAGGCTAGTGACTTGATAGCACTTCGTCAGACGTGACACACACACCGACACCTCAACGGTGTAAACTGTTCCCCCGAATTTGAAATTTGCGTCCCTGGACACGTCAGCGCAACAACCGAGCTCTTTATTAGAAAATACAGCACCAGCGTCACAGTGTTTCGCTTCGGCCCGCTCGAATGATAAAGAATTACGTCGACGAACAAGTATGACCTTCGGAAGGAATGTACTCGCGGGGATTGGATACGAGTTTTTTGCTAATCTCCCGCCGCGGCAGAGGTTCCCACGTACGTCACCATCTTTGAAAACCTCGCTATAATGCGACCTTTGCTCCATTAGCAGGTTTGCTGCTCGGTTATGATGAGTCCCTCTGCTCACCTTGGAAGAAGTCGCTCCACCATTAGTTTCGTCGTAATGTTCTTATCGCGATTGCGCGAGACATCTGAAGCCGGGAATGGAATCGGGAGCGAACCGGTCTGTCGCTGACTCGTCTCAGATACATCTTCGTATCGAAGGGAAAAGCCTCTTGCTATCGGCAATGCCAACAAGAATCATCAGAGAGATTCCGGAGAAGAAAGCATTTTTCCGATCGCTCTCCGAACTACAGAAGTTCTCGCAACGAACAACGGACGGGACGACGGGAGGCCGTCGCGCACCCGACTCTCTGCGACTTGGCATGCCTGCTTCTCTCGTCCGACGGACGGACGGCTCGCCTGCTCGCTGCGTTTAGACGAGCGTGGTTTTGCGAACGTCTTGACGGACGGACAGCCCGACATCAGATCACCAAGTTTTGCGCGGATGTCGTTGAACGTCGATCATACGAGCTGTCATGACCATTGCGCCTCTCAATCTTCGACAAGCAGCTGCGCTCCCCGAGGCTGCTCAAGATCGCGCGAACTTGCTTTGTTTACAACTGGCCCGCCCACGTTGCGCCGAATAACGCTCCACTAAATTTGAAAGCACGACCCTCACGAGGTTCTCGGAACATTTGAACCCCTCAGCCTCTCGATCGCTCCGTTCTGGAGCGACCGACCGACATTCGCTGAAATCGCAAGTTGAAACGCGTGATGCCGAGCGCTCCTTCCATTATTCCCAGTGGGGCTCGCTGCCAAAATCTTTGAATCGAAGCGGAGTCGCTCAAATGCCAACGACGACTCTATTCATGAAGTTGCCAATTGATCCCCATCGTCCGAAGGTCCGTCTCGAGTTTGAAGGGCGCGAGCTAGCCACTGTCTGGAAAGACCTTTACAACGGACCGTCTCGCTATCCATCCATCCATCGCGGGAATCTCTCTCGGGCGCTGATGAAGTTTTCAGGAAAACCCGCAGTTCGCCGCGGAATACCGGTGACGGACGTCGTGCGATGGATGATCACTCGCACAAAACTCTCGGATATTGACAAGCGCTTATCGGTGTCGATAAAACGTCCCACCAGAAGTATGACATAAGCGCATCCAAGCTCCGGATTTATCGACAAAATCCATCGCTTCATGGTTATCGCGTGGAATTCATTCCCTGGCTCGCTCGAAAAAGAAAGCGTTCTGAAAAGGAGTCAGCGCAGAGAACACAATCAGGCCGCGCGTACCTACCTATGGTGAAGAAAGGGAACGCGTACGTCGGATCTCCGATCCAAGGATTTGAAGAGAATGGCGACCGGACCCAGCCTTGAGAAAACTCGTTGCCTCGATCAATGGCGAGCTTAGGA